TAAAGTTTATGCATTGTGCATCTATGAATTTGTAGCTCCATTACGTGCAGTATCTCAATCACTGATCTTACAAAGAAAATAACTGCAGCTGCCATTATTTGCTCTGTCTTTAAACAAACCTGTAACGTATCAGGGGGAGAAACTGATTTAATTCTTTTAAACTTTTCATTACAGAAAGCTCAGACCACCACCATGTGTTCACATATACATGACAGGAATGTAGTGGACTCAGCAAAGTCATTTTCTGTCCTCTGCTTAGACCATTTATTGGTGGACAAGCGTAAATACCAGAGTGGAATGAGGGTAAGCAAAATAATCATGCTGTGTCAAAAAGATTCCATTGCAGAGACCTGTAGAACAAAGTGGGCACTCGGGGTGTATTGTTACTGCACCAAGAGCTCTGAAGTCCTGTTTGACTGAAGTCCTTGACCACTTCTGCAGCATGTCTTTGGATACTCCAATGGCACTCTAAGCAAAATGGCATTCTCTGCAAAAAATGTTAGATCATCCTTTCTGCATATATCTCCTGCATTTTCAAGGAAAAAAACCTTAACCATCTGTCATAGTTCATTTTAAGTAGGTAAATTTACTTCAATAGATGAGCACCTCTTAATTTTAACATACAAAAGGTGCTCTTAGGTAGAGCCACTTATAAAAGGAGTTTTCTGAATGTTGGCTACATTTCACTTAAAGCATTTCCCAATTTACTATATTGTCATTACCACACTATCCTTATTTGCTGTTTCCTCTCTTCTCAACAAAATTGATGAATTATTGTTACAAGAAGTGTTAAATACATTTAATTAAAATTCCAGTGATACAATTTAAAGTAGTGGAGTAAAAATGCTGTTTCTTACAGCCAGCAACCTTCTTTTGTATCACGTAATTTTGAACCAAATTAAAACCCCGGAGGCATATTCTACCTCCAGTGTTCTTGTCCAGAGAGTGAAGGCTGGTTTGAGGACAGCAGGGCATTATGGGGAAGAGATTCTGCTCCATTCAAGGCCTACCTGAACTTGGACTGAGCTCAACAATAAGAATGTGGCAGAAGACAGGGAGTCAACTGAGAGGGCAGAACAATCCTGGCCCCAATATACCATGTTCCAAATACACTACACTCCAAAAACATGAAGGCTTTCTAAGAGAACAAAGAGAGACTTGAATAATGAAGAAACCAGACACTGTGAGAAGAGCTAAAGAATGGAGAAGGTTTTTTTTCCTAATTGTCTTTGTTGTTTTATATGATATTTTCTCTTGGAGAACAAGTACTTTGCCCTTTTAAACTTATAGCACATGGCTTCTTTGGTTGAATAGTGTTATGTATGAACCACGAGGCTGTATTCATGTTTTAAACCAGTACAGGTTATGGGTTTTGCTTTGGAGAGTTAGCAGATGTGATACAGTCATGACAGAATGAGGTTACTGCAGGAATGACTCATTGTTGAATAATCAAGTGTTTACTCCACCAAAACTGCATGTAACCAGACTGCCACAGTTTTTCTGCTTTATTGCAAGATGTAGCTTTTAAATGTCAATGCATCAGAAAGGAAGGTAAACTCCTTGGGTGGCTCAGATATCTTTTTATGCATGTGTTTAAAGGCAGAGAGTCTTATGGTTCTCAATGGAGAAAAAAAGCTATTGAGCACATCAATTTTGACACATTAATGAACAGAGGAAGGGAAGCCAGCTGAAGAAAACAAAATCCTTTCCTGAAGTGGAATAGAGAAGTATTTCTGAAGGAGACCAGATGCAGAAAGAACAGTTAATGTAAGGTTCTGTTTTGATTGTTTCATACATCCCAACCTAGTATTCCTCCTGAAAATAATGTTACCATTTGAGAAACCTTCAGCCAATCATTTCTCTAGCTCCAATTCATTTTTTTCAAACTACTTTCTTCAGCCTTTTTTGTTTTGCTTTTAAAGAAGGTAATTGGAGAGTGCTTGTGCTTTGTCTTCCATGAAGAAACACATGCTCAAATGTATCTTGTCTGGCAAGAGGGGCCTAAATCAGGTGAGAGAAGAACTGGCTGGAAGAGCATCTCAGTCTTCTGACTACAGTGGGCCCAAAGGTTATGATCTGTTATGGGTCTAAAGTTCAGGTCAAGACAAAATCCAGAGCAAAGAGACTTTGGTCTCTTTGAAGCCTTTCTCCAATACTCACTGTGTACATTGGGAGGAAGCCCAGTGCCTTATATGGCTGCTGGTTTAGCCTTCTTCCCTGTTTAAAGGGCAGGAGAAGCAGGACTGAGATCTAAATCCTGGATCATACCCAAGTGCTCTCTAGTTTATTTGTGACGGTCTGGCACTAACATATGCAATCATGGTGCTGTCATTAAAAAGTAATAGATTATACATATTCCCACTCTGTGGATAACGTCCCATGGAATAGAGAAAAATTCACTCTGTAAAACATGAGAGTTGAGTAACATCTGAGCTTCTAAAAGTTCCTGAAATTTGAGTCTGCTGTGGTAGATGCACATCTCCATTTTGCAGGCATGCTCTAATACTGCTGTTAAGTCAGGAACTTGCTCTTAAGAGCTAAAATCCATTGTATTCGGACAAGAAGTAGTCCAGCTGTTCATAAAATTAAAGTTATGTGAAGCCCTGTCAGAGGAGCAGTGACAGAAATGAGACACAGAAATGGTAGAATTTCAAAAGGTCTTGCTACTCATACAAAACCAGCAGATTGTGGCTGTTCTAATTCATTCCTTGCACAGTTAATACTGTCCTGTTCTTCCATCATTGTGAGTGTTTAAGTCACTTATTGCAGATCACTATTTAAAAAGAAAAAACCCCAAACAATTATTTTACTTGTCTGAACTGTTCCAGGGCTAACCTCATCCAGGTTCCAATAGAATGAAAGTGCCAGCTTTAAAAATACAACTGACTACATTTCTAAATCAATTCTTGCCTTACAAACCCTAGGTTAGAGTCAGAATCTTTATCAGATTCTCCCATCCTCCTTCTAGTAGTATTGGATTACGTTGGACTATGTTGGATTGACTGTGCTGTTACATAATGTTGTCGAGTGAAAATCAGGTCAAGTACCTCATATGGGTTCCACACTACCTTCTCCTGCCAAGTTCTGTGTAACAATGTTTGTAGGTTTAAAGCCACATCTATGCTACTGCAAGGTAAGCTAAATTAGAGAGAAAAGTGTAATGCCCAAGCAGGACCTCACTAGCCTGAGCACAGTGGATGCAAACAGCACGTCCTCAAGCTCAGATGCTGACATAGGATCATTGCCAAGCCAAACAGCAGCCATGGTACAGGCACTGACCAGCTCCCAACCACCTCCTTTCAGCAGTGCTGTGTCTGAATGGCAGCTCATGCTGTACAGCATCCCAGATGTGTACAGCTGGATGGCCCAGAAAGCAGAGGAAGTGCTTCTTATAAGGATGGAATATGCAAATCTAAAGCAATGTCAAACTCTGGCTGAAACTATCAAAAGCATTCCAACCAGAGGAGTCTTCAGTTCAGTCCCCAAAGTGGCAGTCAGAAACCAATGGCCTTGGAGTCCTCTGAGGGTTTGCTGGGGAGTCACTAAAAGGAAGCCTTTTTGTGACTTTTTAACCAGCCCAAGGTGAGAGCCTGGGCAGTATTTAGTGATGAAGGGCAGCAGTTGAAATTCTACCCAGTAATTGAAATTCTAATCAATGCTGACTGAACAAGAATGAGTTAAACTTTTCATGGAAAATTTACTATTGCAGGTAGGCAGTTGTAACTGCACATTTTAAATGCAGAGGCAGTGAGTAGAAAGCAATCAATCCTGGCTTCAACACACATAAGATCTCCAACTGTGTTTATATAGATTGTCCTCTGCATCAGTCTACACATATGTGATGCTGTTGCACAACCTATGACCCTGAGCAGTCCTATATTACCATATGCTCCTTGGTGAAGATTTAACCCTCTGCAGGAGCAGTACAGCTCTGGGTCTGTGTTTCAGGGAAGGACACACTTGTTCATGATCCCTGGTCTGAATCAGAAAGGTTACATGGTTTATCTTACCAATTGCAACCAACCACTACAGCACAACTAGTAGCAAATATTGAGCATTCATGAGCACACTATGTGCAACCAACTTCAAAGAGTTAAACATATTAATTTAGCATATTTCATTAGCAATCAGGAGGAAATAGTCTCTTCACAAACATTTTACAACCCACCAGAGGGTAGGTTTCTTGACTGGGTTCTTCCTTGCGAATTCTCACTAAGGTTTAGGAGTCATCCTCGTTAGTTACAGTTTTGAGAGACAATGAGTACACCTGCCACAACCATCTCCACTCTCACCTAAAGCTCCTACTTGGATTATTAACTTTCTTCAGCTACATTAGCTAGGAGGATGTAAGCTTTGCATCCTTGTAGCACTTTCACCACAGTTTCATTTGGGAACTTTGCATCTTTGTAGCTAGAGGATTCAAACTCAGGATGTGTATTTGCAGCCCTATCGTCCCAGTAGTCAGTTCGGGCTCTCAGAGGAGAAGGAACATCTACATTAAGGCTCTAAATCAGCCTGAAACCTTACTGATTGTACCAGCTCCAGTGAAAGCTGTCTTCATCTCGTGCATCCTTTCAGTAGAGAAGCCCTGTGAGGATTAACCCATGCTCAACATGGGTATGGGTGGCAGGACTCACCCTTAGGAGAAAATTCTTTCATATCAGCTGTCCAATTATTAGTAGTTTAAAAGGTTTCCTGAAGTTGGATGGCTTATTCCTCTTCCAGTGAAGCCTCAATGATACACAGTACTCAGCTGTGTCACCTCATAGTGACAGGTCCTTCATGACAGCCAAGTTTTCTGTCTGGCCCATGAGGATTTCAGAATTGTTTCTGTGCTTACCCAGCTGAAGGACTGAAGTGAACAGGGCATACCACGGAGTCCAGTGGCACATTAGTAACTTTGAACCTTCACTTTCATTAAGACTGTGGCCACTTACTACTTAATGACACAAAACAGTGCATGTGACTATGAAGTAATAAATACATAGGGAAAAATGCAATTGAAAGCTTTCAATTGATCATTATTTATTCTCTCTTCAAAATTCTGCTTAAGCACAATTTGTATATAGATTCACTGCAACAAACAGGTCTGGGTCTCTATGTTTTTAATCTAAACCCTATCAAGAGAGAGACTCCAAGGTGGAAAGATTTACACTACTATTATCACCATTTCTATTCCCTAATTAAATTGCAGACAAAAAACCCTTCAACCTACCAAATTACATATATTTTATTCTATGAATTATTTTTAGAAATTCTGAAGGAGTTACCCTAAAAAGACCCTTTCTGAATTGCCTGGCTCAAAATTTGATAATTCATTTTTAGTTTGGTTAACTATGATTGAGCTATTCAGTGTTTTAAAAAGATAAAACCCCAAGAAATTCACAAAAGCATACAAGAACTTTCTCTTAAGCCACAATATATAATTTCTTTTAATTACATCAAATATTAGTTTAAACTAATTGAGTATGATAGGTATCTCAGCTGAGCACTTTACAAAGATGACACTATAGTTTATGAACTATACACACACACACACAAAATCAATTTTTTAAAAGCCTATTAACACCACCACTTTGAACAGTGTTTCTTTGCCTTCCTCTTCTCCAGGAAAGCTTTGCTAGGCACCTTCCCTTTCTCAGCCTCTCTCTACTATTCCCCCATACCTTCTTCTTCCTGATTTTTGAACGATCCTCACAGTGGGGACCATTCCTGCACACTGGTGCAGAGGGAGCTTCCTACAGCTGTGCTGGGAAGCCACCGACACCACCAAAGCTGTTCATGTGGTTTAAGTCAGGGCCTAACTATTGGGGTTTGGCATTCACGGGAGTCCCATGAAGCCTGACAAACAGTGCCTTGAGTTTTTAGCAAGAGACTGTATCTTAGTCATCGATGATGCTTGTGTTATCATTTTTACATTTTGCTTGGATTTTCCAGGATTGTACTAGCTCATGCTTTTTAGTTGTCGTATAGTTTTCTTTCTGGCTTTCATATTGAGGCCATCTTGGTTGTTCGGAACACCATAAGGTGTTTTCCATAAGGAAAAATTTAAATCCATGGAAGATAATAAACTAGTCTTATTTACTTTCTGCAGGCAATGGTTTTAGACTTGGATACTACAACTAATCTCAAAAAATCTGTGTTTGGTTAGCTAAGTTGAACTATGATATCTTACATGAATACTTGCAGGTATCACTCTCTTCAGTGGGAGTAGCAGATACTTCCTCAAAAAGTTACATCTGACAATGGATTTTGCCATCCAACTTTAGGTGCTCAGATTGAGAAGGCCCTAATGTTTGCTGCAACCTTAGGTTTGGGTCCAATGCACCTGACAGTGTCCCTTTAAGCAGGAGCTTCCCCATAACTGTATTCTCTGATTCTGAGATGTTTTAGGATGCTTTTCATATACTACAGTTTCTGAAGGTCAGTGCATACACATTTTAAGACACAGTGATAAGACAGTGTATGGAACTACTTGGCAGTATTTAGCTGGTACAGTTTCTTGTGGAAACAACAGAATTCCAAAATACACCACACTGAATGCTTATGGGTTATTACAAGCAAAAATCCCAAGACACCAGGAATTAAAAAGCGGAGTTCAACAAAGGAACACTGATATTGTCAGTTGATATGAACAAAGTTGTGCCAAGTCTTCCTTCTTTGTTTTTTCAAGTGGAGAAATAAACTGGGAAACAAAGCAGAAGGAAAGAAAGATTAAAAAAAAAAAAGACAAAACCCAACAGTTATTACAGAGTTACTGTTGTGCTTTATCTTACAGAAGTGTGCGATGTCAGAGAATTGCAAACATCTTTAGCAGATCTTAGTTAAAAGAGCATAACACATCTTACACACAATATTCCTTCCTAGGGGAAATGGGGATGCTTCTCCCATGTCAGAAGGAGTTTGGAGGGGAAACTGCAGTGGAAAGCAGGGGAGACTGTGGCTCAAAAGATAGAAAGGGCAAGGACAGACAGTGATGGTAGCTGCCATCGTCAGCTCCAGCAACACCTGCAATGCCATGGGTTGTGTGCCTGCTTTTCCAGGGCCCCACTACCAGGATGGTAGAAAGCCTGGCTTGGGCCATTTCACCACACATGGTAGCTCATTGCTGTGAGGAATGGCTCAGTTTATCTGCACCCATAGCCAGCCCTGCATAGAGGGTATGATCTTGTTCAAATCAGGGACTGGAAAAGTCATGCAGGACTTGTCTCTGACAGCACTTGGATGCTTGATGTCTATAGGATTTAAACATATACTTGAGAGCTACTGTAAATAAATACAGCATTGAGTTCAATACACAGAGTCCTTCCTGAAGCTGCAACCTTTAGGCACTATTACAGAAGAATCAAATAGACTGGAAAAAGAACTTGAGGTCCAGATACATTTAAATCTCACTGACCTTGCACTAGATCTCACTGTGGTGAGCCATGACCTGGGTTTAATGATGAAACCCAACCTAACCCATGTCAAACCTGCTGTTTCTTAACTTACCAGGACAGGCATCCAACATTTAAAACAAGGAGGGAAACTATATTATTACTTATATATAATTTCAGTCTTAGCTTCTAAGGAGGAATTATGAGTTATCTTGACTGGTTTTTACTTTCTTGTTAAGATACACACAGTGGTCAGTGATGAGTATATACACAGCAATTAGTTCAATGGCTGCACACCTGTCTTTCCAGGTTGCTGCTCTAGACTGCAGAACAAAGGCCCATCTTTCTCTTGAAGCCAGTTGCCTTCAGTACCCAGTTAATATAGTTAATTAATATGTAACCATTTCCCATTCTTGCTGTATCAGTGTTATGAAACCCTAGAATTATTCTGGGTCACTCTGGTGCCAGCATTCATAAGACTAATAAACTGTCACATGTATCTCATTGCATTTAGTCATGTTTACAGGTGATTCTGTAAGCCTTCTTTAGAGAAGCAACAGAGGAAAATGGAAACACCCTGAATGCAAGGCATGTAATTTGAGAGTTGGGAATTAACTCACATCCACAGTGCTGGTGAATCCCTTCTGGGTTACTAGCTGGATTGTCTAACTCAAGAAATCTTCCTCTTAGGAGTTAATGCAATATTCCAGTTATGTCACATAACAGCTGTTGCTAATACAGAGGTTACATAAATGAAATGTTCAATTACTGTCATTACAAGATCCCTGGGTCCCAACCAGCACGACTGCTATTATTCATTCATAGCTAACTTTCCTGTAACAAATATGTGGAATGAGATATCTTTTGAGAAAATAAATCAGTAAGACTTTGGGCCATCTTTTAACAACATTTTAGGCATTCAAGATACAAAGGGATCCTCAGAAGCACTCTAACATCTCAAATTCCAGCTGATTTGGTGGGAACTAGGCACCTACACACTTTAAAAAATTCATCAGATGCCTGTTTGCCTGTGGGGCTTCACCCTCCTTTTATAGGCATGAGGTAATTCAAATATTACTGTTCTCAGTAGAAAACACAGGACTGTGGCCCTCATTGTAATGAAAGGAAGATCTCTGAGACTGCATAAAAATTTATATAAAACATAAAGAGGAAGTCTTTAATCCTAGGAAAAGTTATGTAACATGCTAATGTAAAAAAACATTAAATGTCAACAAATTCTGCCTATATGTGTCCAGAGAGTTTGCAGTAATTCTTACTATAAAAGCACGATACTAGAAGGGAAATTTCACAAATTAATCAGTTTAAATATTTTATATCCATTTTTTTGGTTTGTTTTAATTTTTAATATAGCAGCATTTCTTAAGTCACAAGCTACTGAGATCATAAATGAAAGAGAAAATTAATTACTCACTTATAATTATAATGAGAATGACTGCGCATACTACACCAAGGATGATCATCATCTAGAAAAAGAAAGTTATAGAAAAGAAAAAGTCAGGTTTTCACATGAAAGACATTAATCCCTCAATTTTTTTGCTTTTACTTAGTGATTCATTCCTCATACTTTTAATTCTTGAAAAGACTCACTGTAACAGACTGTTAAGGCCCCAAAGTTAGTGTCAGTTTGAAGAACAGCTGACCACCAGCAATGGTCATAAACCTCTTTTCAAAGCTAGTCAGTTCTTGCCTGTCAGCTAAAGATGCAGTGACCAACCTCATCCATTTCCAGCAGTAAAGAAAAAGTACGTTTCCAAAGTAAAACAACTCCAAAGGTGATTTAAGTGACTGGATTCACACATGGCATGTACCACTTTATACCAGAGTAACTGGATCACTCTTTCCCAGGTTCCCCGTGGCAGTGCAGAGGCAGCTGGAGATGTCTAATGCCTCCCAGCTATTGGTGCTGCTCTGTGTACCTGTGCTGTTGGGAGAGGAAGCCCACGCTAACCAGCATGGTTTCCAGCATGTTCTCCTGGAAATCACTCATGGCAAAGCAGAAGTCTGCTCCCACAGGAATAGGTACATCAGAGGCAGCTGTGCACAGACCACACCAGCACTGAGCTGTGTGGGGTAGAGGCCCCCACAGAGACTTGCTGAATGCTAACGAGGCCACCAGGGATGCTGCAGTCCAGGTGCCATTATTACCCCAGTGAGAATGGAAAGACTGAAACCCAACAAACCTAAGCGTGGCAAATCAAGGCCTCCATTCCTCCTAATATGTGTCTAAAGGACAGAGCCAGCCGTTGGCTTGCAGGAGATTTTTTTTATTACTTCCCTCTCCTTCCAGAGTTTGTGAGCCAGAGGAAGGACAGGGGGATTCTGTTTGTCAGGGTAAAGCAGGAAGGGATAATGAGGAAAGGAGAATGAGAGTAGGTTTGAAAGTCTAGTCTAGTGTAGGTCATTGTGGGCACTGGAGCCACATGGGTGAACCTCACTCAAAATCTGTGCCTGTAGCTCCCAGAAGCCCTGCTTCCTGCACTGGGCAGCAGGTAGAAGAGGCCCAGAGGAACTGCTCACATGAATTTCTAATCTAGGTCCTCTTATTCCTGGAGTGTTTGTGCATGTAGTTTACCCAGAATATTTTGCCTTGTTTTACACTTTATAGTGCTGTGGATTGAAGAGACAGAGCAGACAACAGACTGGCAAGGGATACACGTGGGATTCTCCCCTGGGAAAAGGTGGGTTTATGTGGGTGGACACGAGTAGTCAGCAGCAAAGATTGAAGAGAAATGGAAATGGAGCTGAAATTTTGTCACAGTGTTAATGTTGGTGGTGCATAAGTAGAAAGAAGCAAGGGTATGGGATCTTGGATGAGTAAGAGGAGCTGAACTTTGTGGGTCCAGAAAACACAAATACTGGGGGAGATCTGAAAAAGCAAGGGAGAGTGAGATTCCCTCTGCTCTTGGGAAAGGCTAAGACTTTGAAGACAGCAGAGAAGGTTGATAAAAGTCCTGCTCTATCCTAATTGGCCCTTCTTTATAAAATACTGTAATTTCCTTACTTCTCACAGCAGTTTGTGAAACCAAGTTGGTTTTTTTTTTTAGTTTGGTTTACCATCCTAATGGAAGATCCAGAGGTTGATGATCTCCCACAAGGACAAAGCTTCTTTTCTTCCAGTACTAGAATTCACTGTACCTGCTCAGGTTTTATCATTCACACGGGGAACATGAACTGACACGGAATACTTTCCCATCCCTATCTGCAGGCACTGACTGAAGCATCGAAATTTGTATCTACATTTTATATACTGCAGAATTTTTAGGGTCCAGTAAAGATCAAAGTTGCTTGACTTATGGAGCCCAGAGGGCAAGGCATGTCTTTCTCCCTTTGACAAAAAGAGATGACTCAGAGATGCCATCCTGCAGGCAAATGAATTAAATGCAAGTGAAAGTATTCCTGCCATGAAGTGATTCTCAACAAGAATTTATATTCTTTACCTTGCAATTTTTCCACCAGTATTTTCTCTTCAGTTTGGCTGCACTGGTTTCAAACTGTGAGGCACCTGCTTGCAAGGCATCTGCCCGGTTGTCAAGCTCTGAAAGCTTCTGGTCTCTCTCTAGCACCTTGTCCACGTTCATCCTCATGATGTCGACCACCTGCAAGGGCACAGCCTCACATGAGATCCCACACAGAGGAAAGCTGAAGGTCACTTGAATGTTCACACCCTGGAATATGACATATCATACCAAAAACAGCCATTTGCCTTTATGATACGTGGTGGCAATTACCTGGGCAGTGCCCCAAACCTCTGCCTATGGAAACAACAGTGAGCACAAGATGAGCACAGCTACACTGCTCAGGTGTGATATAAAGAGACATCATGAAATACCGGAGTCAGATCCTTTAAAGTTTTTGATTTCTTTTGGCCAACAAATATAGATACAAAAACCTGACAGAGACCAGTACCTCTATACTACAATTTGGTTGACTTCACTAAGAACAAACCATTATTTTCCTTATATATTTAATATCTTCCTTACCTGAACTAGTGAAATTGGCTATATAAAGGCCACTCTAAAGGGAACTGTATGCATTTCTTCACCAAGGAATTTACTCATTCTGCAGATCTTTCAGGCAAGATGATTTCCCAGCCATAATTTGAAGTCCTGCTTGAAAGCGGAGGAGGAGAATATTTTACCTGAGACAATTCAGCCTGAAGTGTAGCAGGGAGCTCATCCCACCTCATTGGCCAGCCTCAGCAAATAAAGCATGCACAGCCAGGACACAATATTTTATACACTGAGTTAGATGAAAATCCTCTTCTAGCAAGCCAATAACTCTAAATGGAGATCCTTTAGAAATTCATCACTAATGCAAATGTTAGACAGTATAACAATCTCAGTAGTGTCCAATCATTCTAGCAGTGAATAAGTCTGTTGGCCTATTGCTTCTCCTATGCTGTCATAAGGAATTCCATGATATTTTTATCTAATATAATTTAACTATTACCTGCAAAAATCCAGAATTAAAAAGATACATTATTCAAATACAGTGAGATGAAAACTGGTAGTGAAAGAAACTTTGAAAGGACCAGCAGAGGGTTAAATGCTGTTTGAAAACTCAGAAGTTTTGTTTCACTTTTCTACCAAACCTAAAACAAAATCAAGTGTTTTGGTCAATCCAAATTTTCTTACTTGCTTTTCCAAACTAAAATCTTCCAAACATTTAACTTCATATCAAATTAAAGAACAAATTGTATTAATTTCTCAGCTAGCATTTTGCTGAATTTTCTCTTGGTACAATGATTTGTAGTGAAAATTTTGAACTATTTGAAAATGCTGAAACAAAATAGTGTACTATTTCCTACCCATTCTCTCAATTTTTGTTTTGCCCGTAACTATTTATTGAATCTAACCTGACTGCAGTGAACACTTGTCTAGATGAGATTGCATTTTTGTCAAATAAATAAATGTTTGTCTAGAATAAAACCATGATCGGGGCCTTAGAAGATGTCTAGAGAAATCAGAGGGGAAAACCCGCATGGACATAGCTGCAATACAGTATCAGCACTGATACAGGATGAGAAATGTCAGTCATTTTATTAACAGCAAGAATATTCTCTGAAGCACAGTGGCGATGGTATTGCGGTTTCAGGCTGTGTGTGCCACACTCCTCCGTGGTGTCTGGTGCCACCTACAGATGACTTTCCCACAAGACATGGAAGAAAAAACCAGGAAATATCTAGGAAGGTCAAAGCAACGTTTACAGATCGGACTCTTAGGTATTATAAACCAGCTGCACAATTCTCTGACAAATGTACCTCTGAAAAGTCAAAGGTTGTCTCTGTGAAACCGTCTGTGAGATCAGTGTCTAACCTTTAGGAACATGGGAACACATTAAAAGAGCTGGTTCCACTATGATACATCCTCCTAACCTGACTGACTGGGAGGAATTCCCAAACTGGCACCAATGCCCACATTTATTCTGCAGAACTGTTACTGGTACAAGGATGTTTATACTCAGAATCTCACTTGTACTACCTGGCTCCTCATAAATGCCATCTTTGATAAACCTCATTTCCCAGATCCACTGCCTTCAGACAAGTGTTGCTGGATCATGGAGAAGAGCATCTTAAAGAAAAAAAATAACCACAGCAACACTCCTGTGGTGAGCAACAGATCACTTGGAGCCACTTACCTCATCCACCTGGGCTTGTGTCTGCTGCAGCCGTTTGTTGCTTGACACATTGGTAGCAGGAGAAGGCCCTGCAGCCCCGGCACTGGTGGGACCTTGGGTAGGAGCTGGAGCAGACCTAGATCAAAACCAGAAAATATAAGTGACTGAGACCACCTTTACTTGTTCACTACCCCTTTCCTGGAACAGGTAAAAAGTATCTATCTCTTAAAAGAACTTTTCCATTGTTTCAACCCATGTTTTCTGTTCCTGGATCACAACCCTCCTGTTCAATTCCTTCTCATACCACAATCAGCTTTTACACTGTTTCTTAATAGGACTATATCAAACTCTTCTTCTCCCTTGCTGCCTTTTAAAATAGCAAACAATTCAGAGTATCTACCCTAAGTTAGGCCAATGGCCAAACTGATCACAGGCCTGACTAGCAGGGCAGAGCTTATGTCTCGCTAAGGAAACACACTTAGCATTTTGTGTTAATGTTATAGGAGCCAGGGCTGTGACCCTGTATTTCTTCTCAGTGTGCTGAGTGAAGCACTCTCCTGCTCTTTGTGTTTGGCTGGAAGTTAACTAAGTAAAGATAAACAAAAGCAGGGGAGAAAGAATTAGAGGAGGCAATGGGGGTGAGAATTGCACACAGCATGGGGTTAGTCATCTCTGGCATTGGTGGTCACCAAATACCACCAGAGCAGCTGTCCAGGCTTGAGCATCTGCCACAGACCCTAGGCAAATATTTGTAGCAATGCTATGAACAGAGCCCTGGTCTCCTGCACATCAGCTCTTTTCTTAAGCATCCACACTGACTTTCCCCAGCTTGCTATATAACAAAAGACAAAACAAAGGTTCCTTAAAATCCAAGAACTGACCCGATCTGTCTCAGAGTATGAGTTAGTACAGACAAATCAACCTGCTGGCCTGAACACCATTTTTCACACCCACACTTTAACCTGTGAAACCTGCCTCTCCTTCCAAGGGACTGCTGTCACTTGTTCCTGCAGAGAAATAAAACCTTTCCTGAAGCTGCAGAGGAAATCCCTAAGCACGTGAACTGAAAAGTATCACCAAATCCCACTCATGCATTACCAATGCCTTCCCATAGTGCCAGACTGAGAGAACACAGTGTTTCTCTGTGAATCATTCCCCTTTACATCCTGGGGTCTGATTATTGCTGCTGGAATTATGGCCTCATTAATACACTGTCGAAGTGCTGAGGGGCACCAAAGTAGTTCCCCAAAGGTACCTTAAGCTGCAGAATTCAGTTTGACAGCATCGCCTGAGGGCTGAGATCCCTGTGGATAACACTGACCCTCAGAGGCTCCCAGAGATGGAGCAGCTGTTTGCAGACCTGCAGCTCTGCTGTAACTTACACTTCACTTTTTAACTGCAAGTCAGAATGACCTTATCAAGCTTTAGTTGCAAGAAAAGAAATGGAGCCATCATCATTTGAGGACCCATCTATTTAAAAACATAAAAACCAGATGCTGCTGCCACCTGCAATGGAATCACTCCATCAATGGCCATGGGCCAGCATCCCAACAGGATTTATTCTGAGTTGTCGCAAAGGATCAGAATCTGACTAAAATATATATCACACACAATGCAAAACAAGACTTCCCTGGAGCATCAACAAATTCAAAGGGAGTTCCTGGTACAACAGAGCTAAAATTGAAATTGTAAAACTTTGCAGTTAAGTACATAAATGGGCATTTTCCCAATCAAAACAAGCAGAATTTTTTCACTACTACAAAAGTTAAGAGAGCTCCTCTCTTGAGCTATGTACTGTTGGCATCCTAGAGACTACAGAACAGATGAGAAGTGTTTTTCCCTGCCATACAGGTTTGCTGTAAGCATAGCTTATAAAAGCAGAGGTGTTCTTGGTCAAAGCTAGGAGATAACTCAAAAGTTCTGCCACATACCTTTTCTGCCCGGTAACTGTCATGTTTTTTTTGCCCTTCCAATCTGCCCTTAAAATGGTTTGGCATACAGTAGACACTTCCTAGTTTGTTCTCTTCCAGCATCCTTGCTGCCATCTAACTTAGTTTCAATTGCATTTCCTGGGGCATTTCCTGCATAAGGGAGAAGGGATGGGAAAACCAGTGTGTTTTTACAGCTGCCCTGCTCATCCAGCAGGAGTTACTGTAACTAGCAAAGAGATGACAATCTTTATGCTAAGGCACAGCAAGCTTGTAATTAACATACCCATCTTAATTAATTACATAAAATCTAATTCAAGAGTAACCAGAGCTACGTGCTGCCTGCAGTGCAGAGCTACGCTTTCCAAACCTTGTGTCTCTGGAATTGTGCTCTCCTTACACAGTAACAGCAGCTGCCTCACTCATGGCCCTGTGGGTCAGAGCAAGGAGCAGAAGGCACTCACCAAAAGAGTGTGCTGACGTGGCTCCAGTCCCACACAAGCATCCAAATAAGAGTTTGTCTTTGAACCTAAGTTTTCTAGTAAAGAAAGGAACTGAAGGTCTACATCACTTGAAAGCATAGACATTCTCTGTTATATCTTAGTACCAAAATTCTAGAATGAAAGTCCAACCTGCATTTGCATAATTCTTCCTACATTTACATAATTCTTCTATTATTGCCTCTGTACCATGTTGTATCACCTTATAATTTCTCAGAAGCTTTATTCAAAGAAATTTATGCAGAACATTATCACTATGTTAGAGAAGCTTCCTTTTGAAATACATGAAGCATCACAACTTTAAAATATAATTTCTCATAGTCTGGCATGATTTTTGGGGAGCTACAAAAGAATGCAAAATCTATATAAAAGCTCCATCACTGGGCCCCTAGTCATCAGATCTCTGTACTTTTATTTTTAGGAAAAGGAAAAAAAATTACTGTTGATGTTGAGAATCTTCATTCCCAAGAACAGGTCAAATTAATTTTGAAAGGGGAACAAAATTCTATTACTCTTGGTGAAAAAGAGTATAAATCCCTAGCAAATAGTCTTAAATGGCAACCACTCTGTGATGTCAGAGCACTGGAGTAAACTCTGGGAGAGTGCCAAGTACACTCACTGCAGGACAACTGCACTACTTGCCCAGAGCCTCAGCAGCTGGGTTGTTTTTTATAAAACATTAGTTATACCTTCAGTCCCCACAATGCCAGATTTTGCCTCAGTTAGCACATGAACAATCTGACTGAAAGCAGGTGCTGGACCTGTGTATCTATGCAGCAACCTTGGAAGAAACATTTAGGGACTATCCTAGTGATTCAGCAAAATGGTCTCAGCTGACTCAGACATCCTCAGTTCTTCTAATTGGGCCTGAAACTAGTAGGTCAAAATCACGACTAAGAGATTTGTCATCTCACCTGGATATTTTGGAAGCAATTTACTACTTGGCTCTGACAATTAAAGGGAGCTTCAACTCTAATTAAGATAGAAGTGGAGATATCCAGTGTTACTGTTTTGCATTTCAGCACTGGCTGAAAGAACATTAAGGATGATTGTGTACCTAATATTTTGGGAAACTGCCTGACATATACTTTCATTTTTGTTCATATGTGTGAGCTACACAGGAGAAATTATTTTCTTAGTCAGGCTAGGGAAGGGAGATGCACGATGCAAACACCAGGAGGATGCCAGGACACCACTGTGGCTTTGGTACAGTTTACACTGGGACCTCCATGGCTGCTTTCAGCATTTTCTTTTATCCAAAGTGCTTTTCAAAGCCTCCAGCTACAGGACCTAATCTCTCCAAAGTCTTTATCCTACCAACACTGCAATAAGCTAAGGAAAAGCTATTATCCCTCATATGGCTGGGAAACAGGTACAGGGAGATTAAGTGACTTGCTCAGTGGCACAGAAAGCCTGTGGCAAAGCAGCCCAGCCCTTTTCATTGCCATCCTTCTGCTCCTCTGTTCTTCAACTATTGACTTGAGTGAAAGCTCACAACCTATTTCTGATAGCAAGAGTTATTTTCTACCCCTCAGACTTAGATAGTGAGAAACATAGCTGAAGCTTATAGCACGAGGAAAGTGAGAATTACATCAGACGGCTCTAGCTGGTGTCAGCTGGCAAAGCTCAGGGGAGGTGTGGAGGACCAAGGATCAGAATAGGAATGATTTCAGGAATGAAAAAAGATATACAGCGATTAAAAGGACTTTATTATATGAACTTTACAGTTATCATGTGTTTATAAATATATACATTGTATGATTTCCCCTACAGTTGTAACTGCCCAGGCATGTGCCAGACATGCCTCGTGGTGCTCGCTTCCCTCCTTCCCTCTCTGTTTGGCTGAAGAAGCTGCAGAGAGGACACAGCTACGCCCTTTCCTTCCCCGGTTCCTCCCCCGTTCCTTCCTCTTCGCCTGAGTCCCTATCCCTATTCGTTTCCCTGGTTGTCTGTCTCATGCTCCACCCCATTTTCTGGAGCATTCCAAGCCAGAGCTCATAAAACCCTTGTGCACCCCCATTAAAGGAGCATTGCATTGCAACCTCAAACCTCCTCGGACCCCTTTGTGCAGTGCTGCGGCCCTTCTCTCCTCCCCTACGGACCGTGGCAGGGAGGGCAGTGCATGTGCATCAATGCAGCAGCAGATTTGACTAATGATCCCTATAAAAAGTGAAATGAAGGAGGCAATTTTCTATGAACTCCACTGTGATTCCTCTTTCCTCAAACCCTTTCCCTGTTGTTCAAATAAAACATAAAATTTCACTGCTTTTCTTTTTTCTTTTTCTTTTTTTTTTTTTTTTTTTTTTTTTTTTTTTTACTGTTCAGGTATCATATTTATGTAGTAAATATTTACTGTTGTGACTTTATTTAAAACACCATTCTTCCATGTGGAACCCTTCAAAAGGCATCTAACCCATTTGGGCTTCACTTTGTAAGTGGAGTTTGACAGTCTGTTGTTTCAAAGGAATTTGAAAAATACACCAAAAAACACCTGTTTAACTGTAAAATAAATCAGAGCACTTCCATAGCTTTGTACTCTTGAGATTTAACTCTAAAACAATTATTAAAATTAGCTACAAATGCAAATTCATACATTTTTTTAGGGACTAAGGATGTCAGTGGAGATCCTGGACATCAGAGATAGCTGTAGAAACAAACCCCTTTCCCAGTGTCCCTGGTGCCAAGAGTGTTCATCTGTGAATTGAGAT